TTTTTTTTTTTTTTTTTTTTTAGATGGAGTCTAACTCTGTCGCCCAGGCTGGAGTACAGTGGCACGATCTCGGCTCACTGCAGCCTCTGCCTCCTGGGTTCAAGCAATTCTTCTGCTTCAGCCTCCTGAGTAGCTGGGACTACAGGTGCGTGCCACAACACCCAGCCAATTTTTGGATTTTTAGTAGAGACGGGGTTTTACCCTATTGGCCAGGCTGGTATTGAACTCCTGACCTTGTGATCTGCCCACCATGGCCTCCCAAAGTGCTGGGATTACAGGCAAGAGCCACCACGCCCAGCCACCTTTACTCTCTTGAATCCACTCCTGTTGGGTTTTCACCCCTACCACACACTAAATTTTATGTGTTTTATGGTCAGGCACAGTGACTCACACCTGTAATCCCAGCACTTTGGGAGGCTGAGGTAAGAGGATCACTTGAGCCCAGAAGTTTGAGACCAGCATAGGCAACATAGTGAGACCCTCTCTCTAAAAAACTTTAAAAATAAAAAATAAACTAGCCATGTGTGGTGGAACACTCCTGTATTCCCAGCTATTCAGGAGGCTGAGGTGGGAGGACTGCTTGAGCCCAGAAAGTAGAGGGTGTAGTGAGCCATAACCGTGCCACTGCACTCCAGTCTGGGTAAGAGACCCTGTCTCAAAAAATAAAACAGATAAAAGCAATTTTGTCAAAGTCACCACTGCCCTCCACTCTGCCAAATCCATTGGTCATTTCTCAGTCCTCACGTTGCTTGGCCACTCCACAGGATATGACAAGTTTGACCCCCTCCCTTCCTCTTTTTCTAAAAAAAATTTTTGTAGAGATGAGGGTCTCATGTTGCCCAGGCTGGTGGTGAACTCTTGGGCTAACGGGAGCCTCCCACCGCAGCCTTCCCAAGTGCTGGGATTACAGGCATTAGCCACCACACCTGGCCTACTCATTTCCTTACAACCTGCTTCTTCACATTCTCCTTTCCCGGATTTTCCTCTTCTTCCAGATTTTTAAATATTGGTATTTTGTGAGGCTCAGTAATGAGACTTCTGCTCTTCTCCATCTACACCCACTTCTTTGGTACGCACATCACAGCTCACTGCAGCCCTGACCTCCTGTGCTCAGTTGATCCTCCCACCTCAGCCTCCTAAGTTGCTGGGACTACAGGCATGTACTGCCGCACCCAGCTAATTTTTTTATTTTTTGTAGTGATGGGATCTCACTCCTTTGCCCACGCTGGGCTCAAACTCCTTGCCTCAAGTGATCCTCCCATCCCTGGCCTCCCAAAATGTTAGGATTACAGGAGTGAGCCACTGTGCCTGGCCCCAAAATTACATTTCCAGCTCCTTTTTGCCTAAACCCTACATATGTACAACATCCTAGTCTATATCTTTACTTGATTCTAAAAAGCATCACAAACTTGACATGCCCTGCATCACTTAATATTCCCCCACCAAACTGCTCCTTTTATAGTCTTTTCCATTTCCCTGTTTTAGTAAATGAAAATTCTCTTCCAGTTATCAAGCCAAAAAGATTGGAATCATTCTTGAATCCTCTTTCTCTCACATCCCACATCCATTGCGTCATTTTGTCTTCAAAATATATCCAGAATTTTACTACTACTCACCACCTCCGCCATCACCCTTATCCAAGTTACCATTAATTTTCACCTGTATTATAATAGTAGCTTCCCGACTCTCATCTGGATTACTGTAGTAGCCTCTTACCAAATCCTGCCTGAAAGGCCAAGCAATGTAAGGACTGACAGATGACTAGGGGATTTGGCAATGTGGAGGTCACTGGTAACCTTCACAAGATTGTGTTCACTGGAGTGGTAGTCCTCAAAGAACAGGATCCTGATAAAACTGGATTCCACTCTGTAGTAGAATATTTATGCTCCCTATAGTGTATTTGCCTTCTTGATCCTGTTATAACTCACCACGAAAATTCCCTTTTCAGAGACTTTGCACTTGCTGTTCCTTTGGCCTGACTGCCCTTCCTCCAGACAGGCACATCTACCTGCTACCGCCTGAATTCTGGTACCTGTTAATGACAGCTTCCGAGAGATTTCTTTTATCAGGCTATTTAAAATAGCACCTCCCGGCTGGGCACGGTGGCTGTCTTCTGAAATCCCAGCACTTTGGGAGGCCGAGGCGGGCAGATCACCTGAGGTCAGGAGTTCGAGACCAGCCTGGCTAACATGGAGAAACTCCGTCTCTAAAAAAAAAAAAAAAAAAAAGCCGGCATTGTGGCGGTCACCTGTAATCCCAGCTACTCGGGAGGCTGAGGCAAGAGAATCGCTTGAGCCCGGGAGTTGGAGGTTGCAGTTAGCCGAGATCGCGCCATTGCACTCCAGCCTGGGCGACAGAGCGGGACTCCATCTCCAAACAAACAAAAAATACTCCACTCTCTATCCCTGTGTTTTCCATCATTTTTCTTCATAGCTTGTATAGCACCATCTGAATGTATCTGGGGGGCTCCCTACACCCTACACACACTGGAATGTAAGCGCTATGAGAGCAGGGGCTTTGTTTTGTTCACCACTGTATTCCCATCATATAACCATGCCTAACAGTGGGCACTCAATATCTGTTCAAGGAATAAAAAAAACCTTCGACTGAAACGTATATAGTTACTAGCAAGACCGTGCAAGCATACTCAACTCTAAGACCTTCGGAACATGAAATCTGGGCGTGCACCATTTTTGACACTTAAGCCAGCCGTCCCTTTCTTAGAAGACATACGGTAGCGCTTCCACCCTCGCTCAAATCTCGGGAAAGGAGGGGCGGAAGGTGGATGTCATCACTACGCGCCCGCCTGCCCGCGACGCACCGGCGGGTGGCGCAGCCCTTCGCTCGCCCGGCCTCCCCCTCCCTGGTTCCGCGCTCTGGTTCCGCCATGGAATCCAACAAGGATGAAGCCGAGCGCTGTATCAGCATCGCCCTCAAGGCCATCCAGAGCAACCAGCCCGACCGGGCGCTCCGCTTCCTGGAGAAGGCACAGCGGCTGTACCCGACGCCGCGAGTTCGCGGTGAGTGTGAGGTGCCGGAGAGACTGAGAACATTAGAACTGATGGGGCGAATACGGGAACGGACCGACGGGAGCAGTTGGAGGAGGGGGAGGGGTGGCGAGGCGCGGCTACGCCTGCGCACTGAGGCGCGCGGTGGCTGCTGGGAGGGGTAGTCTTTCCTTCGCGCTCCTCTGCGGGATGTGGACATCCTGGAGACTTGGGCGGCCGGGACTTCAGCTTTCGGGGTGCTCGCGGAACTCTCTGTTGGTTTGAGGTCTCTGAGAACGGAATGCGTTGGCAGGCGGGGCGAAAGGAACTTACCTGGAAGTGAACTCGAACTACTTTTCCCAAGGGGCCATTCGGTGGCCCTGGCCAGTCGCGGGCCTGGGAAATATTATAGTTCAGGAAAATAAACATAACTCCTCTGAGGGAGAGAATGGGCGCTAGACAGGGAGAGACTTCCGTCTTTCGGGGGCCCAGGAAAGGAGCCTTCACTCCCTCTCATGTCTCGGGCTGAGGGTCAGGGACCACCCTCCCAAAATGCAAGCCGGCCTTTGCACCCACTCCAATCCGCCCCCTCGGACGGTGTGTCCTGAGGCCGGGCCCCTCACTCCTCCGGGTGAAGAGGTAGGAGCGGGTGGCCAGGTGGGAAGTGCTGGCCTCAGCCGCCCCAGCCTTCCATCGCCCGCAGTTGTCCAGCTGCGGCCGGCCATGTGGATGCTGAGGCTGCTGAGCGGCCCTGGACAGGAGGCTCCCGAGCCAGGGAGGGAAGAGTGAGTCTGGCTTTACTACTCATCACCTCGCTTCATCCAGGAACCCTTTCTTTTTTCTTTAACCTAAATTTTCCAAGGAGTTTTTCTTAATCCAAGCTGGAGGGGAGAAAGACACGGGGTGGTACCTGTGATCACCACCTAGTAAACTGGGAGTAACAGGCACTCTGCAGGCCCAGGTCTCATCCTGACGGCTACCACGTGACCTTCCTGAGCTTGGGTTTCCTCTTCGGGAAGATTAGAAGGTTGGCGCAGATAATGTGATTGGCAATAATACCCACAGGGCTTTGCAGTTTAGAAAGCTCCTTTGCCTGTGCCTTATCACTTGAGCCTGCCAGGTAGGGAGGCAGAGCAAAGATCATTATCTTTACCCTATGGGTGATGAAACATCTCTGAGGAAAGGGATGCCCAAGATGACACAGCTAGGAAGTGGAAAGTTCTGTGACTCTGTAAATGTTTATGAAAGAAAAATGAAATTGAGGAGCAGCAGTCAGCCTCCTAACCGGCCCTGCCCCCCGATGGGATTGAGAAAGTGGGACACTGGTGAAAGAGGTAGCCTGGACTGCCCGAATTTTCCTCCGTCCTGACTCTTGCAGGTTGATCTTTGGCCTGTTTGCCTCCCCTTGGAGAGTGTTTCGGGCTGTATTTGCCAGGACACCTGAGGTAACCTGCTCAAGGAGCTTCCCTGTGAATTAAATCGTATTCTGTGGTGGGGTACGGACCCTCCAGCTGTCAGAATTCTGCCTGATTCTGATGCTGCTGCGGGTTCGGGAGGAGGCAGCCAAGAAGGGATGGGCCACAGGGCCTGTGGGGATCTTCCTGTCAGCAGGCTCCTGCACCAGTTCAGGAGCATGAAGGAGTGTCCTCTCTAGGGCTCAGGCACTGACATTTGCTCAAAGTCACCTGCCAGCATATATGTGATATTTGTGCTTTTCTGGAAAGACTGTGAGACTGTGTGCCTTAGGCATCTGTGTAAACTTTACTATCTGCAGCCCTCCACTGAGCTGACGGGGACCTGGGATAAGTTTAGGTCAGGGACAGGGAAAGATCTTACTTCAAAAATAAAGGGGGGGGCTACGCATTGGGCTCCCCACCTCCCCAGGGGGAGTGATACAGATATATTAGGTGGATATCTATTGCTTTGGGTTTGGGCCCATCCCAGATGTTCATTCAATGCAGCAGACTTTTGTTGCAGATCATTTATGTTTTGTTTTGTTTGCAAAGTCCTCTGCTTGGTGTTAGCAAGATTGGTAAAATGTGATCCCTCACCTCCAAAGAGCTTCTAATCTAGTGAAAGGGACAGATTTGCAGAAACAAATATTACAAGGCAGAACTGTGATTAAACAAAAATTAAGCCCAGGGTTACATGCTGAGGACTTAAGGACGGCCATGAAAAAATCACTCCTCATCATCCAAGGGTTCACAGTCTGATGGCAGGGAGGGGGTGCGGAGGACCGTCTCCTGAACATTGTAAGCCGTGTGGTGAGTGCTGTAGCAAGGGCATAAAAGTAATGTTGTCTCGTAGCGAGGGAATGCTTTGGGGGCGACGCGGTAGCATTTGAACTGTGCTTTGGAGGAAGGTGTGAGACTTGAGGAAAGACATACTGGGAGAAAACAGGGAGCTGAAAGTTGTAGGGTTTGGGGGAGGAGATCAAAGTGTAGCAAGATTTAGAGGCAGTGGGGGTGGTAATTTGTATATAGAGAGGATTAAGGTTGGAAAATTAAATGGGGCCAGATCATAGAAATCCTTTTCTACCAAGCCAAGATATTTTCACCCTATTCTGTGGTTAGTGAGGAAACCATTGAGGTTTTTGAGAGCAGGAATAAGGTAAGGGCACTGTTGTTAAAAGAGAACAGCATGGAGGGTTAATGAGAGGGAAGAGACTCAAGGCAGGAAGCCAGTTGGAAAGAATTGCCTTGAGCAGGTTGGATATTCTAAGGGCCTGGGGCAGGGCAGTATTGATAAGGCTAAGGTCCCTGGAAAGGAGGCACCAGACCTGTGTAAGAGAGGTGTAGGAGGAGAGTCAAATGGGATGCTGGGGAATCAGAACGGAAGCCCCTGTGACCAGGAAGAAACCAGGCTGAAGAACTGGGATGGAAAGAGATGAGCAGAGTGGGAGGTGCCAGTGGGACACAGTCCAAAGGAGCTGTGAGCCTGGAACTCAGGAGGGCACTCCAGGTTCCACACAGAAGTCTGGTATCTGTTCCCTGGAGATCACTGGAGTTGTGTGCAGCTGAGGTCACTGGGAAAGTGCAGACCATGGAGAGAAGGTTGCTACAGGCACAATGGCAGCCAACACCTGCCCTGAGCCCACAGGCAAAGGCAGAGGAAGCAACAGAGTGAGATGGAGCAACAAGAAGAGGCAGTCCCCGGAGAGGGCAGCAGCCAGGTAGCCATGGAGAGGTTTGGCAGTAGGTGGCCAGCAGCACTGTTGTAAGGTAAAAAGAGAAGGATCAAGAGCATGGGTGGAGGATGGTCTTGGATAGGTGGAAGGGCAGAGGAGGGAGAGTCAGGAGAGAGGGGAGGCTCAGAGCAACCTTGAAAGGGCGAGGGACCCCACACTGTGGGCCTTCACAGCAAAAAGGATGTGAGGGGACTTGAAACTCCTGCTGCAGGAGGTGGGACAGGGAGGCACTGAGTTAAACTGCAAAGTAGTATCTGGGCCCTAAGCCGGAGGTCACAGACTAGAGATGGTGGAGCCAGTCGGTCCCTTTCTGGGAGTTTCTGTCCAGCAGCTGGAAGCCTGGTAGGCATTGGCTTTGGCTAAGGCTTCGTAACAAATGTGGAAGGTGCCAGTTTTCCCAGGGAGCTCATGAGAGCATCTGTAGGCCTCAGTTTCCCAAGCATACAAAGAGAGCATTGGCTGGGATGATCCTGAGGTTCCTTGCAGCTCAGGCTGCCAGATGTTCTGTGAAATGGCTGGCTCCGGGGTCCAGGCTAAGTCAGGAAGGCTAAGCTGGGAAGGCCAGCCCACAGGAAAAGGGAGAATGGGTTGCTGAGGGATTCTGCATTCAAAGTCCAGGAATGAGAGATGTTCTGGTGCTGGCGAGGTCCAGGGTGGGGTCGTTCCCTTCAAGTCAGTCAACATTCATGAGCTCCATTGTACACTCAGCCCCTTCAATTTGCTATTTCACAGAATCTTCTTTACCCCTCGGAACTATGAGAGCAGGGGTCGGGATTATGTCTCCGCTAAGGAGCTAGATAACCTGGCAAGGCTACGTGGCTGGCCGGCAAAGACCCAGAACTGTCCATCTCCAATCCCAGGCCCTTTCCTGACTCACTGTGAGCACCGTAGGTACATAGAGCCCAGAAACTCAGCTACTCACTTACTAACAAAGTCGCAGAGTCAACACTGTGTATTTGCTGGGCATTGGGCTGAGTTTTTGGCCGGCATTCACTCGTTTCCTCTTTTAGCCTGTATGAGGGAGATAGAGTTTTGCACAGATAAGCTAACTTACCTTGTCCAAGAGGACCCTTCTAGCAAGTGGCAGAGCTAGGTTTGAACCCATCAGGCAGTCTCACCTTTTTCCTTTTTGTTTTTTGGAGACACGGTCTCACTCTGTTGCTCAGGCTGGAGTGCAGTGGTGCAGTCACAGCTCACTGCAGCCTCAACCTCTTGGGCCCAAGTGATCCTCCCACCTTAGCCTCCCAAATAGCTGGGAGGTGTGTGCCACCATACCTGGCTAATTTTTTTTTTTTTTTTTTTGTAGAGACAGGGTCTTCCTGTGTTGCCCAGGCTGGTCTCAAACTCCTGGGCTCAATCCATCCTCCTGCCTCAGCCTCCCAAAGTGCTGAGATAACAGGTGTGAGCCGCTGTGCCCGGGCCAGTCTAAATCTCCAGTCTGAGTTCGGTGGCTTTGGCCGTAGAAATCCTCTCAGCTCTATCTCAGCGCCTCTCCATCCCAGCTCTGTTCTCTTCTACTGATTTCCCTTCCTTTTCCAGGTCTGCCAGCTTTACTGAGAAGGTACAGAACCAAAGTAACATTAAGCTATTCTGTCTCCTTTTGTGACACTGCCTGTCAGCCTCTGTGCCATGAGGGGTGTAAGCATGAAGCTCTCACATCCCCCAGACCACAAAAGAGACCTTCAAGCAGACGGCTTCCGTGTGACCCAGAGCACCTCCATTCTCCTTTGGGCTCTCTTTCTGTACTGTAGGGAAATTAGAGTGGCTGATTCCCTGTAACTGCCCTGAGAAGCTTCCAGAATCTTTCCTGAGAGGTACTAGAGAGAGCCTGTCCCATCTCCTGGCT